TTGACTTTCTAGTTTTTCTAAATGTGTCATCTAGATATTTTGACATGCCGATTTTCTCTGTAGCTTTTTTGGTGGTGGAGTCAGAAGGAGAGTCTTTGAGAATTCTGGATGCTGGTGGCATCAAGGGGCTTGGCGTCAGGAGCACTGGGTTGAGTTCTGGAACTGCTTGCCTGACCCTAGGTGAGTCAGGTTATCCCACAGATCTTCCATTGACTCCTTATGAAATTGCTGGCATCTAATATCTATGGAAAGGCTTTTTCCACAGAAACTGTTCTGCCTAATGAAGAGCAATTAAAAATGAGGTGATTTGGGCTGTGTTATTCTGTGAATAAAGGTTTTAACCCCCCCATCATAGGATATGGTGTTTTATTGTACAAGGAGTCCTCAGAAGGCTGCAATGAAAGAAGCAGGTCTCAGAGCATGTCCATGTTCCATTGATACGTTCCTTACAGTTTGCCCAGGTAGGAAGGTAAGTGGAGAGAAATACGACAGAAGGGGAAAGTAGTGAACCATTCATTAGGTAGCCTTCCACCTTTCTCATGAAAGCCTTGGGCCAGTGTCATTTTGGAAGAAGAGGGGAGTCCTGGAGCTCTGCAGCGGATGGGGGAGTTCCAGGTCTGGGTAAAGCTGACAGGGGTCTCAGAGGAGAGCTGAGTGCATTGAGCAGGAGGGTGTGGGCAGGGCGGGCTCCAGGGGTGGCTGTGGGTCTCCCGGGTGAGAGTGGTGACAGGTGGAGGGCCGTGAGGAGGTTCCTAGCCGAGGACAGGTGAGGCCCAGGTGGAGAGCTGGCCGAGCACCTTCTTCTGTGCCACCAGCCTCACCCAACATACACGACGTCATTGTCTGTCCCTGTCACTCCAGTTCAGACGTCTCAGAGGTGCCAGGCCAAGACGTTTGTTTGAGCTTCTTTCTTTGAGTGTGTGTGAAGTTTCAAAATTTTGATTATGGAAATCACGGGTCATCGGAACATCTGTTACTCTTTTATTTCCTGCTCTTCTTTCCATCACCAAAGTGAATCATACCTGCTAGTGGAAGGGGCTATCTGTGTGTTTTTATATCCCAATTTAATTAAACAGTGGGAAAATAACCTTCCAAAATATTATGAGAATCCTTGGTGGGTGTTCATGTTTTCCTCTTCCATGAACCACATTCCGATACTAGAAATCATGTTTTAAAGTAAAACACAGCCTCAGAGCTGTAACAAGGTGCACTGCCCTTTGTGAGAGGGGCACATGGAGACAGAGTGTAGATTCTTCAGGAGCTCGTGGAGTGGTGCATTGTGCTCCCAACGGAAATTGAGCCCCCTGTTAGCCTTCCCTGAGGGGGCTGCTTACCTGGTGGCCCATCCTGGGCTCTGGAAGCTTGACCCGGTGAGTCACTTGTGACTTGAGCTGGGGAATTTATGAAGAAAACGGAAGGAATCCTGGAGGGTGCCTGCATCCTTTGTACTCGGACAACTCCACGAAGCAAAGGAACTCATCATACTGTGAGGCATGTCGGGATCCCTGAGGGAAAGGGCTTCGCTTCGTGGGCTGAGGTAGTGTCTTCATCCTTATCTGGACCAAGCCATGTTGTGTGGCTATGGAGATCCAGACCCTTATGTGACCATGTCATTATTATTATTATTATTATTATTATTTTAAGAAAACAATATTGACATTGACTTTGAGATACAAATATCGTAAGGAAAAACACAAGATCAAATATATATATATATAATGATTGAACTCGCGGCCTCTCTCATTAGTATGGGTAATGTAGGGCTGCCCGTATGAGAAAGACCAAGGAATTATATTTCGATTAGAAGTGTGCTGTGCACACGTAGTGTTTTATTCTGTCATTTGCCTTATTTTTCTGGAGGGAAAATGGAGTGGTGACTGGAGCTTGGTTTCTGATTTTAAGGAATGGGAGACAAGTGAATTGCAAGACCAGTGTTGATGCTGACATGGTGCTCAATGCCCAGTGAGCGAAGGTTTGAAGCTCGGACTTGGAAGCCTTGATGTTCAGCGAGGATGTTGTCCGAGTTTCCAGCACATCGAGTCACTTGGCTGGTGTGCCTAATCGGGCTAGTTCCTGCCTTTCTAAGGGCAGTTTGAAAGTGGCTTGAAACCCTAGGGTACTTGTGGAGTGGTCTGGATGGGACACCTGTGTGGGCCAGTGTAGATGCCACCCAGGGAATTCCAGAGCTAATGGTGAGCACATTTGTGAGGCTGGAGTTTGCCCCTCTGTGAGAAGCATTGAGCTGGAGTGGAAAGAAGTCGCTGGGTCTTATGACTCACTGTGTGAGCAGGTCTGAGCCTGGCAGGGTAGTCAGATCAGATAGCTGGGAGGTTGTGATGCCGTGGTGGTGGACCGTTGCTCATGATGGGCAGACCAGCTTGCTACAGGGACAGGGACTGGGCTGTACTCCCTGGCCAGCCCTCCTGCTGCAGATGTGATGAGAGAGTTGCTTCCTGTTTGGTGCTTGAGCCCTCGGCTCAGCAGGGTGGTTGGTGGGAAGCAGCCCACAGGCAGCATTATCGATTCTTGCCCATTGTGCCTCCTGCTTCCTCAGAGGAGGCACAGCAGATGTCCTCTGCCTGGTGTGTGTGAATTCAGTCAGCAGAAGCAGTTCTTCCAGAGCCCCATCCCTGAGAAATCCTCTCCACATTCCTGTGCTGTGTGCAAGAGGTCGCTTTTCATCTGGAACTGAAATCTCAGCTCCTGCCATTAGGTTCTGAGGCCACACAGGACACCAGTATCCGTGCAGTTCTGCTTCTGCATGGGGCCTGATGTGCGAGACTGAGGTCGAGCCTGGTCGGCCTGTTGATGCCGCTGCAGGCTCCTTCCTGGAAAATGTGCAGCACAGCCTGGTTTGTGATGATATCGCAGGAAAGAGGGACAGGTGCACCACTCCGCCTGACCACAGGAGTATTCCGGACGTCAATCCCAGGTGGTTGGTGCAGGGAGGAGAGATGTCTGTTTCCCAGGACGTTGGCCAGAGGGAGAGTTGGATCCTGGGATGGGTCTCTGCTCAGCTTTCTCAGATGAGCACCTCAGGCAAGGAGAGGAAGTGTGAGTGCTCACCTGTAATTGAGGAAGGTGTCTGGCTTCAGGTCTCATGGGCAGGTGGATTCCTCGTGTGGCTCATTTTCCTGATAGTGTTCAGGGTGCAGTTGATGGACCCCTGGTCCTTGGCATCCTGGCTATGCCAGACTCCTGGGGCACCTTTTCCCCCGGGGCTTTGGACCAGGAAATCGGAGGGAGTCAGTGGTGAAACCGTCAGTGTAGGCCTTCGTTTCTGCCCTGCCGAGAGGGACTGGGGACTGTGATAACTGCTATGGAAATACAGAGCAGGAGACAGGGCTGGGGTGCTGCAGGGGAGGTAAGGGTGGTGCTTGCTATTCACATAGAGCCAGGTGGGACTTCACTAGGAAGGTGATCCTTGAGTCAAGATCTAAAGAAAGTGAGTGATATCACATCAAGAGCATTCTAAACAGAAGGAAAGCATGTGTATAAGTCCCGGGGCAGGAGCGTACCAGGTATGTCCAGAAGTAGCAAGAAGGCCCTGTGGCCACGGGAGACAGCCTAGGACATGACCTCAGGGAGGTGACAGAGGGAGACAGAAAGCCATTGCAGTGCTGTGACCCCATGGGACCCTGTTTCCTTGGGCCATCCTGGCTACAGTGTTGAGAACAGATGACAGAGTGTTGAGGATGGGCAGGGGAGGTCCATGATGAAGCTTTTCCAGGAACTCAGGCAAGAGATGGCCTCTAGTGTGGACCGGACAGGTGGCCTTGGAAGGAGTGGTCAGTCCTATTCTGGGTACGTTTAAGAAGGAGCTCACCGGATTTGCTGATGGGTTAGATACTGGGAATGGGAGAAAGAGGAATTGGGGTAACTCCCAGCTGTGGCTGGTTGTCCTGAGCGAGGGGAAGGAGGAGGTTTCTGGGGGTAGGAGGTCGTCTGTGTTCCGCATGCTGAGGAAGGTGCCTTTCACGGTGGATCTGCTGATGTGCGTGTCCAGGAGAACATTTAACATCTACTCCCTCAGCAACTTTCAAGTACAAGTATCCCCCACTTTTTAAAAGTTCACGGTACACATGGCTTTTTTTTTTTTTTTTTTTTAAAGATCTATGTCATTACCCGGCTTCAATAACAGGAGGAATCCTGAAGAGGATTTCGCTCTGATGAAAAAAGTCGAAAAGTGAGCATCGCGTTCATCATCTGTTTTGCGGGGAGCCACTTCAGAGGCGGCGTGCACCTCAACCAGGTCTTTCCTGGGAACCGCTCTCCAGGTCCAGCCCCCAGCCCTTTGAATTGTGTCTGTGAGCATCTGCTGTGCTTCATCTCTGTCGGGAGCCATGAGCAACAAGGGGGTTAATCAGGTAGAGCAAAGGCTCCCTGATCCCTTTGAACCATGGCCACCTGACTGCCCCCATACAAAAACATGTTGTACTGGCTAGCCTGAGTTGTATATAGGCCAAGAAAACCACAGTGTTATTAATAGACCCTGAAAGATAGCGCACCTGGCCCTTTAAAGGCATACCGCGTAAACAAAACTGGGAAGAAACTATGCGCTTGAGGAATCTGGCCTTGAATCAGAAACTCGGGGATGGAGCCAGGAGAAGAGCAGGGAGGAACCTGTGGAACTTGTTTATGTCTTATTGTTATATAACCTAAGCCTATATAAAGTGTGTGAGAAAGAATAAAGTTGTTGC